AATGGTAAATAAAAGGTGGTCTTGGTCCTCAGAGTTGTTATTGGTGGGTGCTGTTGAGTTGATTTTTGACTCGTGGTGATGTCATGTGACACAGCAGAACTGCCCCGTACAGTTTTCTAGGCTGTGATCTTTACAGGGACAGATCAGATCCCTGAGTCTTTCTCCCACAGAACTGTTGGATTGGTTCAAACCACCAGTCTTTCAGTTAGCAGCCATGAGTGTGTTAGGCTGGGTTCTCTAGAGAAGCAAAACCAGTAAAGCTTAGAGAGAGAGAGGGAGAAATTTGTCTTGGGAAATGGCTCACACACTTATAGAAGCTCGCAAGTCCCAAGTTCTTGGATCAAACGTCAAGCTGGAGGCTTTTCCCGACTCACACAGCTGCAGGGGCTGAAGAGCTCAAGGTTGGCAGGCAATATACTGGCTTTTGACTCCAACGAATGACGAATCCAAGATCTCCAGGCCGAATGGTGGATTGTTCACTCACGGACAGTTGTAGGCAGCACAACAGAATCCTGATCCACAGACGAGTGTCTCTTCTCCCAGGATGTCCATAAGTATGCTGGAAGCAGGCCACACCCCTAGGAAAACTCCCTTTCAATGGATTGGCTGCTCAAAACATATTCATCTGATCCCATCATGGGAACAACCCACATCACAGTTGCTTAAACCACACAGAATTGTGGTCCAGCCAAGTTGACCCACAGCTCTAACTATCACACATGAGCTTAACCATTGTGTCACCAAGGCTCCTTTCAGAATTTACAACCATACTTTGTTCTCCAGCTAATGTGAACATTGAATCTTTTACATGAGAAGTCATCTTTGAGGTTCTCTCTTGCTAGTGGCTGTCTAGTTCATTGTGATTCACGGCAGCAACCCCGTGACTTAGAGAGTAACTGCTCTGTGGGGTTTTCTTGGCTGAAATCTTTTTGAAAGCAGATTTCCAGGCCTTTCCTACGTGGCATCGTCAGGTGGGTTTGAAACACCAACCTTTAGATAAGCAGTTGAGCACAAACCATTTGTGTCACCTACTAGATGCTTCCAGATTGTTTTGCACTGTGGTACTGATTGTCACTCCCACACCAGTGAAGGAATGTAATTTCCCCCATATCCTCATCTGCACTTAATACTATCATGCTTTTAAATTTTGCTAATCTCATGGGTGTGAACTGGCTTCTCATTGTTTTAATTTGCATTTCCTTGATTACTAGTGAGATTGAGCATCATTTCATATAGTTATTTTAGTTTCTCTTTTTGCCTATTTTAAAATACTTGTTGTTTTCTTGATTTGGGTGAGGTATTATTATTATTATTATTATTATTATTATTAATTCTAATGCTAACCAAAAACCTGGCAGTTTAGACCCACTAGCCACTCCTCTCAAGGAAGATTGGCAATCTACTCCTGTAGTGATACCACCTTGGAAACCCACAGAGAGGTCGCTATGAGTCTGATCTGACCCCACCCCACGGCAGTGAGTTTGGTTTCGTTTTTTGTTTGGTATGCCACTCCTCGGAAGGAAGGTTGAGCAACCTACTTCTGTAGTGATATCGCCTCAAATCCAAGGAGGGGTCGCTATGAGTCAGGTCTGACTTGACGGCACATACCAATAACACATAACACAACCTTTAAATAGTTGCAGATGTCTTCTCCCAATCTGTCCCTTCTACTTTAACTCTGTTTCTAATGTCTTTTTATATTTTTCTCCAGCCAAATACCAGTTTGGTAGTTTGTCTTTTCCCTGTAGATTTGTGCCACTACTAATGTACTATCCTGTATATGCCGAGGTGCCTTTCTTGGTTCTTTCTTCCTTCCACTTGTTAATTTGTCTGTTCCTATGCCAATGCCATGTGGTTTTGATTAGCATAATTTTGTAGTATGTTTGATACCTAGTAGAGCAAGTCCCCGGGAGCTCTGGTAGCATAGTGGCTAAGGCACTTGACTGCTAACCAGAAGGCTGGCGGTTCAAACCCACCAGCCACTCCTCGGAAGGAAGGTTGGGCAATCCTACTTCCGTAGTGATACTGCCTCGGAAACCCAAGGAGGGGTCGCTATGAGTCAGGGCTGACTCGACGGCACATAACAACAACAACAACAGAGCAAGTCCCCTATCTTTGGTTTTGTTTGTTTATTTGCAGAGTTATCTTAACTATGTGTGCCATCATTCTTCCATATCAAATTATAGAATTGGTTTGCCAAGCAAACCAACGTGCTCTTGGGGTTCTTGTTGGAGTTGCATTGTACTAGTAGACGAAGGTGGAGAGACTTGACATCTGCACAGTGTTGAGGTTTCTCGTCCATGAGCATTGTGTTTCTCTCTCCTGACTCAGGTCCTCCTTTGTGTGATTCAATAAAAGGTTCTAATTCTCTCCATTACAACTTGCACAACTATTTCTTTTTTATTTGCTGAAATGTTCAATTTTTATGTTCCACATCACGGAATAACTCTACAGTAATAAAAACTATAGCTATAATTTAAAAAACAAACAAAAAATATATACATTTTAAAGCAATTTGGGTCCATAAGGGTTGAAACTGGGGATTACTAGATTTTATATGTTCTGGTTAACTTTCCTTTCTGTCTTTATCAAATGTAACACATAAAGATGCTGGTATGAATGAAGCAAAGTCCATGGGAGACTTCTGTCCCATGATAAACATCAGCACCATCAGCATTTGTTTCAGCGGTTGTTTACCTGACAGTAAATCCACTAACTGCATTGTTGTTGTTAGGTTCTGTCAAGTCTGTTTTGACTGATATTGACCTTGTGTACAACAGAACAAAATGCTGCCCAGTCCTGCACCATCCTCACAATCATTGTCATGCTTGAGCCCATCATTACAGCCATTGTGTCAATCTGTCTCATTGAGGGTCTTCCCCTCGGGTTCCCTCTCCTCACCTGGATCCCTGCAGCTGACTCTTAGCTCTGTCCCAGTCCCCCTAGCCTTTATACTCTCCTTTTTCCCTCCTTGCCACTTGTGGTTCCCTCTCCTCACCTGGATCCCTGTGGCTGACTCCTTGCTCTGTTCCGGGCTCCCTACCCTTTATACTCTCCTTTCTCCTGACCCTCAACTTTACCCAGCATGATATCCTTCTCTAAGGACTGGTCCCTTCTGACGTGACCAAAGTATGAGAGACGAAGTCTGACCATTCTTACTTCTAAGGAGCGTTCTGGCTGTACTTCCTCCAAGACAGATTTGTTCCTTCTTCTGGAAGTCCATGGTACAGTCACTATGCTTCACCAACACCACAATTCAAATGAATCAATTCTTCTTTGGTCTTCTTTATTCATTGTCCAGCTTTCATAGGCATATGAGGTGATAGAAAGTGCCATGGCCTGGGTTAGGCACACATTAGTCCTCAAAGTGATATCTTTGCTCTTCAACATTTTAAGGTGGTCTTTTGCAGCAGATTTTCCCAGTGCAGTATGTTGTTTAAGTTCTTGCCTGCTGCTCTTCATGAGCATTGATTGTAGATCCAACTAAAATGAAATCCTTGACAATTTCAATCTTTTCTCCATTTATCATGATGTCACTTATTGGTTCAGTCGTAAGGTTTTTGTTTTCTTTATGTTGAGGTAAGACTAGGCAATCTACTTCTGTGAAGATTTACCACCTCAGAAACCCAAAGTGGGTCACTATGAGTTGGAATCGGCTTGATGGCAGTGAGTTTTGGTTTTGGTTTTGGTTGTGTTGAGATATAATCCATACTGAAGGTTTTGAAGGTCTTTCATCTTCTTCAGTAACTGCTTCAAGTGCTCTTCGCTTTCAGCAAGCAAGGTTGTTTCATCTGCATATCACAGGTGGTTCGTAAGTCTTCCTCCAGTCCTAGTTATGTGCTCTTCTTCATGTAGTCCCAGTTTCTCAGATTATTTGCTCAGCACACAGATTGAATAACTGTGGTGAAAGGATACAGCCCTGATACATACCTTTCCTGATATTAAACCAAGCAGTATCCCCTTGTTCTGTTCAAACGTCTCCCTCTTGGTCTTTTGACAGGATCCTCTTGAGCACAATTAAATGTTCTGGATTGTCTACCTATAAGAAAATTATGAAAAGTTTTGCCAAATACTTTGCTTAAATTAAGATGCCTCTCCATCTGTGACCTATTCCTTTCCTAATAAACCATCTTCTTTCTGAAGGTCACCTTTAGTACCTCACCAGGAATCTCTATCCAGATTTTCCACCCAACATGAAGCAAATCATCCTCCCTTTCCCTTGTTCGTCCATATATTATCTTCTGATATTTTTCTCATTCTCCATGATTCCTTCTAACACTGAATTTCCAACAAAGTGTTCAGTCGCATCAGCATTTACGTAAATTAAAGTCTCAACCCACATTTATATTGAGGTCTCTGAATCATAAACATGGAAGGAACTTTGGTGGTATAGTGGTTAAGGCATTTGGCTGCTAACCAATAGGTCAGTGGTTTGAACCCACCAGCCACTCAATGAGAGAAAGATGAGCCAGTTTGCTTCTGTGAAGATCTGCAGCCTTGGAAACCCTACGGGGGTCACTATGAGTCACAATCGACTCAAAGACAGTAAGTTTGGTTTGGTTTTTATACCCACAAAAATAAATATTTTTTCATAGTGCTGCTTTCTCTTACTTGCAACCAGTATGCAGACCCACTTAAAAACCAGCATCAAATGTTTAAATAGGAGACTCATTCTGAGTTGTAAGACCACTAAAGAGCATCGTGTAAATGACATGTTTTTTTAAATGATGCATTGGATAGAAATGATTAACTGTGTAGACAACCTCTGTAACTGTTTGACCATCCAGATTGTCTTATTTGCATGCTGACCTCTGATCTGAAATGTTCAGTATTTTAAAGGTTGATGGAAGAGGAGACTATTTGCTCTGAATTCTGTAGTTACTGAGGAGGTAATTACCTGGAAGGAAATTTAAGCAGCTGTAGAAAATCCCACTAAGCATTCATTTATTTCTTTATCCAGATTACCATTAGCGAGAATGTCATTATTTATGTTCCTCCAGCTCCCGATAGTGGAAAAGATAAGAACCATTGCCCAGGCTGTCTATGGAGCCAAAGACATTGAACTTTCTCCTGAGGCACAGTCCAAAATAGATCGTTACACTCAACAGGTAAGCATTATGCCTTTGGGGAAAACACCTTAGGCTATTAAAATACTCACCTTAACTTGTTGTTGTTGTTGTTGTTAAGTGCTGTAGAGTGGGCCCTGACTCATAGCGGCCCGGCCCTGACTCATAGCGGCCCTTCCTTGGGTTTCCAAGGCAGAAGTAGATTGCCCAACTTTCCTTTCAAGGAGTGGCTGGTGGGTTTGAACTGCCAGCCTTCTGGTTAGCAGTCAAGTGCCTTAGGCACTACACCACCAGAGCTCCTACCTTGACTTGAGGGCTGCTGTACTCCTTACCAACAGAACTTTGCTTAATCTACTTTATGGTCAACAAAGATGTACCATCCTTGGGTAGAGGGCTAGTTTTCTTTAGAACATTATAGTGAGGGTAAATGTCCTGTTATACATACATCATTAAATTTTATGATTGTAAATGTATTTAATATCAGTGGTGTCCTGTTTGTAAGTGCCACTAAAATATGTGCTGTGTCGTCTGTAGGCTCCTCCCATTCAGCTACAAACATTGAAACTGTCCTCTGGTTTGCAGGTATGGAGTCAGATTTACATGACTTACAGTGTTTCCTCTTCACTGCAGGCCTCTCATTCCCCTAAAAATGTTAGTGTGGTCCCAGGTTAGGCAGATGGAGGAGCATGTGAAGAGGGAGTGTTTGGCTTTCTTTTCATACAGGTGGATTCTTGGTGTGTTACTGGGTTGCTCACCAAGTGAAGCTACATCCCCTCTGCCCGTAGGGAGTGACAAAGGCTATGTGTGATTCCTCGCCCTGAGTCCTCTCTAGTTCAGTAACAGTCATGTTCAGTGACTTCACTGCAGCCTGTGCAGCCTCCCCTCTCCAAAGGACTGGACTGCCCAATGCCCTACCCATTTTGACCTGATGAAATAGAAGTCATGGCTCTTTCAGGAAACTCATTATGAACATCATTAACCTCTTTTTTTTGTTTTTTAATTCCTCAACTCTAATCCTTTTTCATAATCATAATTTGACAACTTGTTAAATATCACCAGTGGCTATTAGGTTTCCCCCAGGTGTGATGAGATAGGAAACAGCTCATTCTTTCTTGCAATCTCCTACCTGTACTCATGGCTTGTTCTTTGAGGATTCCCAGAGCTGGTGCTGCATACTGCCATTGTTCTGTGGGGAGATTTTCACCCATATGCGGTGAGATGAGCAAGTAATATCAGTGTCTTGAATTTTTCATAAAACCATTTAAGGGCTGTCACTTATTCTAGTATTAGGTCCTTCCTTCTTCTAATCTTAAATGTTCTTGGATAAAATACATGGTGATAGTCCATGGCATATTGGTTAGTTTGTTATTATCCCTACTAGAAAAGGTTTTAAGTTAGCAAACCTATGTCAGTTCATAGAAATGATTTCAAAACTTGACCGATCTCTAAAATCCAGAGTTGTAGGCCCCATTTCTGAAGAGCATTTGTGATTGTCCCTTGTCAACTCTCATAACCTGACAGAGAGCTGGGGTTTCAAGGAAAGAAGGCCCCACCCCTCGTTGATTACACTCCAACATCTCCCAAATAGTTTGAAGTTGAATCATCAGAAATTCTACATGGATTGCCTCTGAAGATCCATTCCTTTCATCTCTGTGTGTGGAGGGAATCATCCTTGGAAGCTGTGTGTTGAGTAAGTGGCTGCAGTTCATTAGCACCGTGTCTCTAAGGGAGTACTGTGTGCCACTTAACCAGAAGCAGGCTTCAGGGACACTGTCCTTTTTGTGAGCTACTCCATGTGACTTCCTGCCCTGTCACCTTTGGGACTGTGGGTCAGGCATAGCCTTTGGTCCTTAAAAACAAGAAGCTTAAATAGTGACCTCATCTTAGGTCCTATAATGTAATCACAGATCAGATAGCCATGATTCATAAAGGAGCACAAAGGGGCCCTTTGCTGTGCGCCAGACTCCGAGAACGCATGGGCTGCGTGACTGCCAGCTGCATCACAGCCTCTCTCCACATTACCTTTCTGTGTCTTGGCTATTAATAGCTTTGGAAAGTGGTTGCTGCTGCTGCTGCTTTTACTGAAAATAGCCACCGTTTCCCCCAGACACGTGTGTGACACTGCCTTCTCTTAAGGAGAATCCCCAAGAGAAACAAGACACCCTCAACCTGCTGCTCCTTGGAGACAAATTTGTCCTCATTGTGCTCCGTGAACGAGCAGTGGCGAGCGGCGACTGTGGGCCTGGGTCTGGCCCGACATACTGCTGTCATAGAGATTGTGTAAGACGCCAGCCGTACAGGTGCAGGATGCGTGATACTCATCTCTGTGCATGTCTTTGCTTTGCTTTCCTGCAGGGATTTGGAAATTTGCCCATCTGCATGGCAAAGACGCATCTCTCGCTGTCTCACCAGCCTGACCAGAAAGGGGTGCCCAGGGGCTTCATTTTGCCTGTCAGTGACGTCCGGGCCAGCATAGGCGCGGGGTTCATTTACCCCCTGGTGGGAACGGTGAGTAACACTCCGTGGAAGCCTCGTGCGCTCCGCGCTGCCCTCGTGCTTCATCTCTTTAGGCTCCATATTCTTTCTAACTCCTGTTCTGGGAAGGAGTTGGGAATATTTGCTATTGTTCTAAATACCCTCTCCCACCAAAAACAACTCTTTGGTTGTGGTTTGGATGACTCAGGTGTGTGGTGATGTTTAGGTCAGGTAGGTATTCAGGGTCCCTAGAGTCGTGAAACCGATGCCCATCATAGGACGAGAAAGAGAGTAACGTGGGAAACCCCCACTGCCCTTTGTGACAGAGTGGCTCAGTGCTCCTCAGTCTTTCTCACACCACAGCACCCAAGGTGCCGCTGCTGCCCCACACGGGGAGGAAGTAGAGGTGACCGCTGGGAACCAGGACCCGCCCTGCTCCCCCTCGTCAGCACCGCAGGCGGGAGGCCCTGGCTGAGTGCGATAGAGAATCACAGGAATTGTCATTTTTGGGGTTTCTGTGATGGACCGCATGGCTACAGAGTGATGCTGTGATTTCACATTAGCCGTGGAGGGTGGGGAGTGAGCAGTGAAGGCGCGGCTTCTCATTGTGTATAATACTTCATGTATGAATCGCTTCCCCCAGGGAGGGCACCTCCCCCGTAACTGTAAATGACCTCAGTTTGACTTCTTGTCATGAGTGCAATCCCGGACTAGATTTAGGAGTCCTCCAAAAAAAAAAAAAAAACCGAAGAAGCTAAATCATTGTTATTTATTGCAAACCGATCCAAGCCCAACAGAGGACCTTATAATAGTGTTTCATGACTCTGTTGTTATGTAAATGAGCAGTGGTGGGTGAAAAGTACATCTTGACTTCTTCTGAACTCTTGCCATGAGCTTATTCTCCTTTCATCTGTAACAGGGCAGGGTGGTTTCAGTAAGAGTTTTTTTTTTTTTTTTAAAGTTCTTGCAGTGTGTGAGACACGGGGACACTAAAAAGACTGTCATGCAGAATAGGGTTGCATGGTGCTGCGGTATGTAGAGGGCACCGTGTTGGCATTCCTGGTGTCTGGAGCACAGCGAGTGCTGCTGATGGGGAGTGGTGTGGGAGAGAATCACGCTGCTTCCCAAGGCAGGACGTCCGAACTGGGGAAACTGCGAGTTCTATCTGACAGGCCTGAAAGTACATGATGGTCTCTTCCTGGGGTGGTCCAGCATGGCCGGAGCTGGATGGGGCAGGAGGGCTAAGGAGCGGGACTGGGCCAAGTTGTTAAGGATCTCAAATGTCATCTTAAGAAACTTGGATTGTATCCTGTAAACAGTGGGGAGTCACTATAGGGTGTGTTTTTTCTAAGAAGGAGTAGAAGAATGTGGTCTGATTTGTATTTGAGAAAAATAACTCTTGTAGCCATGTGGAGAATGATCAGAGGAAAGAAAACCAGGCTCAGAAAGACCAGTTACATGGGCTTTGAGGGTGAGGTCATCCACGTCGAAAGTTGGGACCGGGGCTGCTGAAGTAGATGTGGAGAGTCAAGGTGAATTTGAGACGTATTTTATAGGAAGCTGTGTGCACATGGGGATCAGAGAACGGGAGCGTTCCTCGCTTGGTGACCGATGGTGATGAATCATGGTACTATCCATCACGTGATGAACACAGGAGGAAGAGAGGTTGACAGAGCCAGGAATGAGTGGGGCCTGATCACAGGAAACTTGAAGGGTTAACAGGAGCTGTGAAAGAGGCTGTGGATCCATTAGAAATACAGCCGTGAAGCTCAGCAGAAAGGAACAGGAGGGAAGACCTTATGAATTCTGAACATGTAGGTAAATTCAGTCACTAAACAGTGGAAGAAGCCAAACGGACACCAAGAGAGCTGGGAAGAGAGTAAAGGACAGTATGTGTGGAAACACCGACACTTACGGAGCCATCCAGAGACCCTGAACGAACGGCCAAAGGCTGGCCTTCTGTTCCTTAGACTGCTCCAGCGATGGCAGACGGTCAGTAGAAGACAGTAGGCAGAGGCCATGGCTTCGGATAAGGGTTCAGGTGGGCAGTGCAGGCCCAGAGAGTCTAGACCTCCAGGAGGGGCAAAGAGGCCATGAGGGTCCTCAGGGAACATGAAAGACTGGGCATTCCAAGGAGAATTTTAGCCTCCTTCCTTTGTCCTGTCTTGTCCTATACAAATTCCAAATCCCACTGTAGTTTACCCAGTAAATTCATTCATTCATTTGGTCACTGTGCCTAAGGCACTGTGCTTCTTCCTAGGGGAATCCCCAAAATAAAGATATTTCTCCACTTCAGGCAGCATGTCATCTAGGAGAGATGGCTAGTCAGAAGTGGAAAGTGAATTTTATTGATACCTTAATTAGTTTCTGAGCATTAAGTGATTAAAAATCATAATTTAAAATTTTGGGGGGGTCATGGAACACATAGATAATATGAATCTTATTTCACCCCAACTGCCACCACCCCATCTACCACCTATAAAGACCAGAACCATTCTAGAAAATCAGAATGCTGTCCCCTTTGATCTGGAGTTGTTAGAGCTTGTCTGTGAACACCAATTGGTCCTTTGGTCCTTCATTCCTGACGGTCACTCTTTTACTTAGGACTTGTTACAGAGTGAATGCGGCTGACCCTTGCCATATGGCTGCAGGCTGGCCGGGTCTCCTGAAGCAAGCCCTGTGCTCAGAAGAGTCTCTAGGACCTGGCCGGGTCAGCACGTGCCCTGGGTGCCACTCGAGGGAGGGGCCCCCCTGAGCAGTTTCTATTCCCCATCACAATCTCTGTCACCAGCTGTGAGAGATCATTCTGTGAGTTACAACTAATTGCTGTAGGCGCTTGTGCTTGCGGGTGCTGTTATCTGTCTTCCCAGCGGAGGTCCTCCTGTGGTCACACGTCAGGGGGCAGCAGCCAGCATGACCTGCTGTGGTGAGAGCCTTCCGAAGCAATGGAGAGTGAGGAGCCGGGAAGGAAGTAGTGCCTGTCCGCGGCAATCCTGGAGGTCAGGAACCGGCTCTTGGAGGTGGTGACCCGCACTGTCGGCTTTCTATGACAGAGCAGGAAGCTGTGTGTGGATCAGGGCGGATGGCACCAGCGGAGAGGCCAGGATCTCCTAATAAGGGCTGCTGGTTATTTTCGTTTGACCCCATGCTAAGCCCACTGAGATGCCTCTAACATTCATCACCCATGTGGTGGATGTAGTATTGTAATTTCCTGCCGATATGACTGAGGGAGGGGGACTGGGAACCCTGGGGAGACTGACTCCGGCAGGAGAGAAAATTCTAGCACAATGAGTCCCTCTGGGTTTTCATCACTCAACACATGCTTATTTGACTGCCTTTAAAACATCTATTCATCTTTCCACTCAGAAAGAAAACCCAGACTGAGACCTTTAGATCAGAAAGGTTCTTGGTTCTTCTGCAGTGCTCATTCATGCGTTCAGCAAATAGTGAACACCTATGGTGGGCAAGGCTCCAGAAACCATGTGGGGCAATGAGAGCCAGTCTTTCCCTCAGAGGCCTTATGATAGATTTTATACATAAAAACAGCCGTACGGGTGCTGAAGCCTGTGGGTTTTTAGACGGGACAACTCCTCTGTAGGTAGCGTCCTCAAGGGAGGTGGGAGCCCTCTCCCACCTACTGTACTGGAAGATCTAAAAATGGGGGATCCCGGTACAAACAAGTCCCTCCTCAAACAGTGAACTTGCTGAGTACGAGAACGCGTGGCGTGAAGTGCCTTCCCTTCCCAGGCTTGCTCTCTGTTTATATACTTTTAGTCCCTGAGTGGTGCATTTGGCTTAGTACTGGATTCCGAACCAAAAGCTTGGCAGTTCAAGTCGACCGAGGGGCGCCTGGAAAGAAAGTCCCTGGCAGCCTGCTTCTGAAAGCACCACCCTGAAAACCCCATGAGGTGCCATTCTCTGTACACACGTGGTTGCCGTAGTCAGAATCCACAGGGTGGCAAATGGTTTGGGTTTGGTAGTTCATCTTTACCCTGAATCTTTGGAGCAGTGGGAGAATTCTTGCCTTCCATACAGATGACCCAGGTTCAGTTCCCATCCAGTCCACTTCGCAGATTGCACGTCAGTGAAGGGTTGACTATCGTGGTGCTGAACAGGTCTCCGCAGAGTGTCCACACTAAGATGGACTAGGAAGGCCTGGTGCACTGCCAGAAGTCAGTGGATGAAAACTGTGGATCTCAGTGGCCCAGCGGGGGTGGCACGGGGCCTGGCAGCGGCACCTGAACAGTCTTGTGCGAGAAAAAAATAATGAATTTTAGGAGGTCTTTGTCTTGGGATCACATTTTTGGATGTGGTCTTTGTTTCTAATTTACAAGACTCCTTTGGCAAAAATTTCATAAAATTAAAAATATAATACACAAGCAAAACACGAGAAATGAAATTTTGAACAACCAAAGTCTTAACAGTGAGCACTAAAAATATGAGTAATTCTTTTTCCGCTTTCTGCACTGAGTACACACTAGCTTTATAATATGGAAATACAATAAATGGGCAATGATAACCTAAAAAACACTGCAAGAGAGTTGGGGAACACTGCTAGATAATTGCAAGAGAGTTGGGGAACACTCGTAGGACACATGGAACCAGGCTCAACGTGTCCCTTTACCCAGCCCAGCTCTTCTGCTGCGTTTTAACACCTGAAAAGTTGGACAGTGAAGAAAAAGGATATAAGATCTAGAATGTCCCTGTAAGAACCACCCTCCTGAGTATGGTTTGTCTGTTGTTGTTGTTGTTGTTGTGATGTGCCGTCGAGTCGGCCCCAACTCATAGCAACCCCTCCTTGGGTTTCCGAGGCAGTATCACTATGGAAGTAGGATTGCCCAACCTTCCTTCCGAGGAGTGGCTGGTGGGTTTGAACCGCCAGCCGTCTGGTTAGCAGGCAAGTGTCTTAGCCACTATGCTACCAGAGCTCCCATGGTTTGTCTAGGTCTGTCTAATGTTTGCTAGCCGTAAAGTGTGCTAAGGAAATGCAAAATTCCCTTCTATCTACTTGTTCCCTGGCTGTTCCTGCCCAC